ACGCGAGCGACTTGTCGCAAATTGCTGACACGATTTCTTGTGTTCGATTGACAAAAATAAAAACCGGATTCTTGTGGATTCTGGAAACCATCGATTTTGATGGTTTCTTGGAGGGATTCTGCTTTTCAGAAATAATTTGACTTATTAATGGAATTCGCAAGGTGAGCCACCTTGCTCCTTTTTAATATCCAATCAGAGTCCATCACACCTTGTTTCTTACACACGATTGGCTATAACACTGGCAGAAGAGGTTACAATTTTGAACTGTTTGGACGCTTGAATTTTGTAGAGTTTTGTGTGATGCTGCATTGTGCACTGATGAGTTCACTCCTACTACCGAATTTACCGTACATCTGTAACACCCAAAATTCAAAATGTTTCCGAAATAGTTACAACTCAATGGTAAAGCTGAAATATATACTACTATTGTTTCCGCGCATTTGAATAACTATGATTGGACAAAATGTTTCGCGCGGTTTCACATTTATTCAGAGTGCACGACATACACGTCACAGGCCAAATGACTGCAGAACCACCACGTAGCCGCTCCAATACAGGGAAGCGCAAGGTCATATCCTTACGCTTCAAAGTCAAAGTAATTCAAGCTTACGAGGCTGCACTTGCACTGCCAAGACATTCTATGCAATAGGCAAGGCCTTCGGCGTGCAGACAGGTCAAGTGTCGCGTTGGGTACTCCAGAGATGATTCAAAACGCTTTTCGAGCTTGCGATATGCAATAATACATGTAATTCAACATCAAAGTACATCATTGATTGAATGGATTGATTTTGCATGATCCAAGATCTATTGTACTCCTCAATGTGGTCCATCAGTACAGCTCTTACAAGTCCAAGGCACCTATTCGATCGATTGCGTTTCGAAGCACTGTTATCGACTCTGTAGTCTTCTACAACAATTGCAAATTTGTTCGCATACTTGGCTTTCGTGTTGACCAAATGACGGGGAATTGTTGGCTGCTCGAGCGGCGAAGGGACTCGAAGCTGCCCTGCACACGAGGTTTTTGGTGATAGTCTGGCCGTCAACGATGTTGTTGTGTTTTGATGCGAGGTCATGCGATTGAATGCTGAAGGACTCGAAGAAACCCTCAAGGTTTACAAGATTATTGGTGCGGAGCAACTCTGCCATGTCGGCTTTCTTCCCCGTCATTTGGTCAACACGAAAGCCAAGTATGCGAACAAGTTTGCAATTGTTGTAGAAGACTACAGAGTCGATAACAGTGCTTCGAAACGCAATCGATCGAATAGGTGCCTTGGACTTGTAAGAGCTGTACTGATGGACCACATTGAGGAGTACAATAGATCTTGGATCATGCAAAATCAATCCATTCAATCAATGATGTACTTTGATGTTGAATTACATGTATTATTGCATATCGCAAGCTCGAAAAGCGTTTTGAATCATCTCTGGAGTACCCAACGCGACACTTGACCTGTCTGCACGCCGAAGGCCTTGCCTATTGCATAGAATGTCTTGGCAGTGCAAGTGCAGCCTCGTAAGCTTGAATTACTTTGACTTTGAAGCGTAAGGATATGACCTTGCGCTTCCCTGTATTGGAGCGGCTACGTGGTGGTTCTGCAGTCATTTGGCCTGTGACGTGTATGTCGTGCACTCTGAATAAATGTGAAACCGCGCGAAACATTTTGTCCAATCATAGTTATTCAAATGCGCGGAAACAATAGTAGTATATATTTCAGCTTTACCATTGAGTTGTAACTATTTCGGAAACATTTTGAATTTTGGGTGTTACAGATGTACGGTAAATTCGGTAGTAGGAGTGAACTCATCAGTGCACAATGCAGCATCACACAAAACTCTACAAAATTCAAGCGTCCAAACAGTTCAAAATTGTAACCTCTTCTGCCAGTGTTATAGCCAATCGTGTGTAAGAAACAAGGTGTGATGGACTCTGATTGGATATTAAAAAGGAGCAAGGTGGCTCACCTTGCGAATTCCATTAATAAGTCAAATTATTTCTGAAAAGCAGAATCCCTCCAAGAAACCATCAAAATCGATGGTTTCCAGAATCCACAAGAATCCGGTTTTTATTTTTGTCAATCGAACACAAGAAATCGTGTCAGCAATTTGCGACAAGTCGCTCGCGTTTGTGCCGCAGAATCTAATACTACGTAGTACTCGGAGTACAATACTACATTCTAACGTACTCCGAGTACGTACTAACAGTAAGCTCGTTCGATGTGGAATTATCTCTCCTCCAAGTGAGCCAAGCAGAAAATGAGGGATTCCAGAGTCTGAATCCACGAAATAACCGGATACCGGTAGAATTGAGGTTTGCATTGTTTAAACTTGTGCCTATTCATTTCACCTCACTTAAATTTTATATGACGAAACACGATTTCCACGCCTAAGGGCCGAAAAAATATCAATACAAAGTTAGAATAGCTGTCGAAAGACAAGGCATTTTTTTTGTAGTCTTCACTGACTTGCACGATAACGTTAACGTTAAATAAAATCGTGAAAATGGACGATGGCAGTACCAAGGAGTTCATGGATCCGTGCTTATTTGTTAGTCAATGGTAGCAACCAACTATCTATTTACCATAATTGTTTTGCATTTGGCGAAGTTGATTTGGCGCCACCCACCGATGTCGGCACCTCGCCGAAACAAGTGGTTGATTTATTGTTGACGTCTGCGGTCGCTGCATGCACCACGCCCGTGTCCACCACCAAAGCCACACTGTGGCCAGAGATCGGTAGCGTATGGGTAGCGTAGTAGGGAAAATGGCGGCGAGGCTGCGAAATATTTCCATTTCCAGGGCCGTAAAGGCGAAATATTACCTCCCTAGGGCCCTGCTCAAGAATTCTGCCCTACTTAGGGCTATTCTTTTTGGCCCCTAGGGATTCTCATCACCACCACCCATTGGTCAGTCTAAATTACTTTTTCTGATTGGTTAAAAACATTTTCTATTTAAAAGGCGAAGTCGTTAATAGCCAATAAACTATCTCGGCTTGGTTTTCATGCAATATTGTGTCCTCCTTAAAGAAGAAATTCACATACAAAGCATTGGAGCATTGGTTGAGGGAAGCATGGCAGAATCGACTAATACGTAGTACAAGATTTGGCGATACATGCAAGTCAGAAGTGAAAGCGACTGGAATTCGACGAATTGTAGAGTTTCTACGTTTTATTTGCTTCGGACCCTGATGAAAAAATTGATGAGAATTGCCCTAAGTATGGTAGCCAATCAAGCATGACCCCTCCATAAGGGAACCCATATTAGGGAAAATAGAGCCCCTAAGGATTCCCTCCATCTCTGACTTTGGCCCAAGAGGATAAGAGGTCCCATCATGATTCTATAATCGAAGCTTCAATTGCATAATGTGAATCGAAGATTCTATTGCATAAGCTTAATGTGAATGTACGGGGTCACCCGATCGATTGTATCTGTCGCCACTTGAAATCGCGCAACGTCATGGTGGTACACCGTGACGTTGCGCGACTTGAAGAGGCGGTTGATGCCCTGTTGTCCAAATAATGGGATCCTTCGAACACATTCACTGCAGATTCCTACTCCGTGCCTTGAGAACATGAGAAGGTCCACGGAGAACCTTTGACTCCACGCCACTCTTGGTCACACATCTCAACTTTCACAGTGGTGATGCCACCAATGCTTTAGCCAATCACATTCGTGAGGTTTGCGCCAGTTTCTTTGCATGTAATTTTGGCTGGTGGGAATAATATTTGGGTTTTAGCCGAGGTTTCGAAGAAATGACCAAAACAACGAACCTCAATCGAATTGGCAGCATAGCACAGCTCGATCGCAATAGCTCTTGTCATATGTAGTAGAAACTCTAGGGACTGAGGGCTTTCGATTGGCCTTTCGACAAGACGCAACAACCTGGAACGCATGGGGCAGTGACTTCAGCTCGAATTGTTCGGTAATTTTATAGAATTGACATTGAATTGTGAGAAAATTAAACCGTGACACCATAAACCGTCCCTCCTATGTTGCCTTGATTTGAGTGGAAATCGAAGTAAATCAACGCTAAGATGAAGCGATTCAAGCCGATTATTATATAATCAGAAGAATGCCCAAACTTTCAGCTTCACACAGCACTTTTCAGAATTGAAATCCCGGTCCTGAGAGACGAATAAGGTGCATTCTACGTCGAGGTCTCGTTCAAGTGCACCATAAATTGGTCATTTACGTTAATAATACGTAGTATTCTTTGAAGTTCCAGTACGAGTAGCAAATTGCGGAGCGGTCAAAACCGCCTTATCCGGATGATAAAACTGCAAAATGGTGTTAGTGGAGACTTTAGAAACTGGCGGAAACATTATTTTGCGCCACTTGGTAGCGACACGCGGGGGTTTAGGCAGTCAGTCTGTATTGCGAGGTTTCAGGGCTTCACAAGGAGCTGACAACAGCATTTGCTTCTCTTCTTCTAACGTACTTGTGGCATTTCAAAGAACAACCCAAAATGACCTTGTTCAGTATGTCCCACTGTGAGTCTGGTTAACGCAGTAGATTCGCTATGTAGCGCAAATGTGCCCGGGCTCACATTAGTTTTCACACAGTACCACCAACATGTCGGAGAACTCGTCGCTACTCCGCAACACACAAGAAGCCCCCGTGGCCAATGCGCGACATTGGTGGTTCAAGTACGCCCTTGCTGGCGGCGCCGTGGTGGTGATTGGCGGCATTGTGTGGATTGCCACCGCCCAGGGCAAGCCAGTGGTTGCGATCACCCTGCAAGGTCAAGTGACTTCCTTCAATGTCACGACAACGAGCGCTCCCGTGACTACCGCAACATCTGCCCCAGAAAATACAACGGCTGCGACTTCGACCACTACGGCTGCACCAGAGACCACAACCACGGCCGTCCCAGCTACGACTAATGCATCCATTGTCCGCAATGCCACCAACGCCACTGTTCTCACCTCGAACACCAACAACACGATTGAGGCCCCGTACCCAGCTCAGTTTGCTACGTTCTTCAAGGAATTCGAAGCCAACTTGGACCGATCGGTGGACCCGTGCGATGACTTTTACCAGTACGCGTGCGGCGGGTGGCTGAAAACCACGACGTTGAAGCCGTCCGACACGACCGTGGACTCTTCTGACTACGTGGTCGCCCAAGACAACGACCGCATCCTCAAGGACATCTTGGCCACCAAGCCGACGGTCATCGATCCGTTCTACCAGGCGTGTCTGACTGAAGGCGACGTGAACGCGGACGCAATAGTGGACGTGAGTGTCCGTCTGAACCACATCGCGAACATCCAGTCGCTGGACGAGCTACTGGTGCTTGCTGGCATCCTCAACATCGAGTCGTCCGTGTCGTCCTTCTTGGACCTGAGTGTGACCACTGACCCAAAGAACGCGACTCTGAACGTCGTGGAAATCATCCAAGGTGGGCTCACGCTGCCGTCCATCGAGTACTATGCGGCCGACAAGCTGGCTCCGTACGTGACATCCCTTCAATCGTATTTGGCGACGTTGGCTACCGTGGACGCGTTCACCGGTGTGACGGCTAAGGCGGTGTTAAACTTTGAAGCGCAGCTGGCCAAGGTCTCGTTGACCCAGGTCGAGCTTCAGGACCCGTGGGCCACGTACCATAAGTATGCCGTCAGCGACGTCACGGCCAAGTACCCGCAGATCGCGAGCTTCCTCAGCGGCGCGCAGCCAGGCCTGGTCAACCAGACGTATGTTCCGGTGCTCGTGCCAACTCCCACGTACTTTGACTCGTTGGGAGCGCTGCTGCAAGCAACCGACCTCGGACTGCTCAAGGTGTACCTGAGCTTCCGTTTGATCCACACTGCCAGCCCGTACCTGGGCGAAACATTCCGCCAAGCGAATCACGACTTTAACGGCGTGCTGCAAGGCCAGGTGTCAAATCAAACCCGCGCCGAGTACTGTTTGGGCTTAACTGAGACGCTGCTGGGGGAACTGAGACGCTGCTGGGGGAATACTTGGGCAAGTTGTTCATGGACAAGGTATTCGACGGGGCTACCAAAGTACAGGCGCAGGACTTGATCCATCAGATCGAAGCCTCTATGGTGGACCTATTGAACGACGCGACGTGGTTGGACGGACCCACGCGCCAAGTGGGTCTGGAAAAAGTGGCCCAGATTCGCAACTTTGTCGGGGGTCCCGACACAATCACCCCGCTTCCGTTCAACCTCTCGAGCAACTTCTACACGAACGTGCAGTTGTTTGGCGACTGGAAGACGAGCAAGAGCTGGAAGTCGCTCCACAAACCCGTGGACCCCACCGTGTGGGACATGTTTGCGTTCACGGTGAACGCGGAGTACGACCCCTCAGCCAACAAGATCGTGTTCCCTGCGGCGATCCTGCAGCCCCCGTTCTACAACGCGCGGTCGTTCCCCGCTGTGACCAACTACGCGCGTATCGGGGTGGTCATGGGGCACGAACTGGTGCATGGTTTTGATGACCAAGGGCGCAACTTCGACCCCCACGGCCAGCTCAACGCGTCGTGGTCGGATGCTGCCTCGGCGACCTTTGACAAAAAAGCTAAGTGTTTGGCCGACCAGTACTCGACCTTCCCCATCGTGTCAGTAGACGGCCACACCGTGCTTGGTCACTTGAATGGCCAGCTCACACTGGGCGAAAACATCGCCGACAACGGCGGCCTCAAGCTGGCCTACCTGGCCTACCAGCGCGTCAAGAAGGCCAACAAGGCGATCGCAGAAAATCTCGGCACCAACGACGCCAAGCTCTTCTTTACCGCGTATGCCCAAGGGTGGTGCCAGAAACGATCAGACGGACACGCGATTCTGTACAAGAACATAGACCCCCATTCCCCCGGAAAGTGGCGCGTGCACGGCCCCCTATACAACTCGCAAACGTTCGCGGATGCGTTCCAGTGTCCCACTGGATCGCCCATGAACCCCTTCAAGAAATGTGTGATTTGGTAATCGTAGGTATAGTTGGTAGTATTTTACGAAGCAAGCCGCACGCTCTGCCTTACTACTACACCTTTTTTCTATTGACTTGGGACTTTTTTCAACGTTCTTGGCTTGGCGCTCATTCGAAAGGGCGATGTGTCCGTCCATTCATTTGGCCTTGTGGCCAATAGAATTGACACGTAGTGCCGCAACACCGTTTGAAATGTACCATGCTACCAACGCTCAGTCATTGGTCAAGAGGTCTATTAATGGAAAAGGCTCCACTACCCAACAATGTGCAAAATGCCAAGTAGCATTTCGAATCTGCCGTGCTTGAAGTTGAGTTGGATCGAATATTCTACTTAGAAGGTTGCAGTTCTCTTTTTCACTTTTCAAAATCGCATTCCGTACAACAATGCAGAACGCTGCACCACAGATACCAGTACGACGTCGTCGCTCACGATACACCATGCGCTCTTAGCCACGCAAGAAATAAAAGCGCGTCCCCTTGTCTGGAGTACTTGTACCGTCGTGCGGACCGAATGGAAGACATGGAACACAACAGTATGATGTACAAGGTGACAAGAACGATGGCCTCGACGGAAAGATGTTCAAGAACACGACGTTATGGCGCAATGGAAGTACGCCAACCTGGATTCGATTCCCAGCGACTTCAACTTAAGATTAACGCGTCAAATGGTGACTTGTGTCTAATGTGAGTTATATATGATTTTGGGTGATTTGACTGACTGTGAATGTTGTTATGGCCCCCTGTGAATAATTATATTTTACTGGTACAAGTGAATTAAATGGCATGGGTATCACTGAATAGATTGACTGTGAATAGCCGCTTTTTCGACAAATCTGGCTCTCCAATCGAAGTTCGTTTCCTCGAAAAAACACGTAAAATATTAGTTTTATTTAATCTGGATGTAAAAAAGGCATCCCAAGTGCATTCAAGTGTGGATGCACTTGAGATGCAGTGTAATAAATTTGATGATTTGGTAAATAGAATTGATCACGCGTTTCCAACACAAGTGTGCCTTTCATTTGTATCACTACCGAAGCTACGAGGAGCCACGCCTCCCAAGAAACAAGATGTCACTGCTGCAGCCTACGGTGATAGTAACAGCAGCCATAACTAACGTTTATTCGTAGAATAGTGACCACGAAATGGAAACGATGAAATTAACTGTTAGTAAACAAATTACTCCAAAAATAGAAAATGGCTGAGCGGTTTTAAGGCGACGATAGACTGAAAATCTAATAGAATCATCTATTTATCCTACGTTCATAATTTCGAAGTTATTACATAAAACAAATATTGTACAGGCAGTATTATGTTTTTGAATTATTTTCCCAATTTGCCAGTGAGCTAACCTCTGTACATGTGGCAACGCGTTGAATGATTCAACTGTGAAATATCGACTGTACAGAAATACTCCGGAGTATACATGACAAGAGAAAAGAATGCATAATATACACCCCTCCAAGTAGTCGCGTGTGTTGATATAGTGCATTCAGTCAAAATTTGGATTTTTATGCTAAATCGTAAAATCATTCATTATCATTGCAATTGGTCCCGAGTTCCGTCCCGGCTACTGTATTCCGTGGTGATTCACGAGAAAATATATCGGTATTTGGACGAGGAAAACAATAACCTATTATTGAAAATCGCAGATATCGATATATTCATAATCAAATGTCAAATGTCGACGATACCAATCTCGAAAGCCTGCGTGGCGGGTCGGCAGCGGGTCCGCAACAGGTCGACGGTTGGTAGACAGCACAGCTAACGTTATGACACACATGAGCACTATGATCTCATCAAAGTATTATAATCAAACTCTCCGCCAGTCATGCCATCGCCTTGCTGAGGAATGGGTTTTACATGTTAAGTAACCAAGTCGTTTTACTCAAATTCTTTTAGCCAATCAAAACAATTTGGATGAATTGGAATAAAAATATTTCCCAAATACCCGGCTTGGACGATCGTGATAAATTTCGGACATTGTTGGACGATCCTGGGAAATACCCAATCCACCAATGAAATCGTGCCATGGCGCTCCTGACGTGGCAGTCTGACAATCCCTCATTGATCCATCTATAATAGTACTTCGAAGTTGTATGCTGGCTGCTGTGATTCAATACAATCAACCGTTTCGTCAAGTGCGATCATTCATGCAGCTATTGCGTATTACTATGGTACAGTACATGGGCAGCACAAGGAGGTCGGGCCATCTTAGACGTGTACCCACAGAAGTGAGACGGCAATGAGGCCATACATGGTGAGGAGCATGGAGCCTTCGAGCCAATGCGACTTGCCATCCACGATAATGGCGTACACAATCACGACCGACGTCACGTACGTCACGGCTTCAAAGGTCGGGAAGGCTAGTGTCATGGGCTGGTCCATCACCCACCCGGCCAAAACGGTCACGGGGACGACAAAGAGCGAGATCTGGGTGGCCGACCCGACGGCGACGCCCATCGCCAGCTCCATCTTTTGCTTGAGAGCGACGCGGACGGCGGTCAAATGCTCCACGGCGTTGCCCACGATGGGAAGGATGATGATCCCCACGAAGGACTTGCTCACGTGGGTGGATGCAACGAACCCGTCGATGGACGCAACGAGGTATTCCGATAGAATAGCCACCAGCACCGTCGCGAGACCCAACACAACGATGCTGCTGCTCAGAGTCATACTGCATGCGTTGTCGTCTTCGTCGACCGTGCCGTGGGTATTGTCCTCGGCCGGCTCAAAGAGGTGGACGTGGGTTTTCATTTGAAAATACAACAGCTGAATGTATATCAATAGCAGAAACACGGCGGTGATGTGCGACAGACCGAGAACGACAGCCTTTGTCGCAGGCTTGTCGTCGTAGGTCGTGTACTGGTAGTACGACGGCACGAGCAAGGCAAATGCAGACACCATGAGCAACGTCGAGTTGGCCGACGCACCTGTTTCGTTGAACTTGGACACTTTCTGGGTCACCCCTCCAGCCACAAAGCAGCACCCGAGGACCAAGAGCAGGTTGGACAGGATGGATCCGAGCAAGGATGCTTGGACGACGGCGATCTGGCCCTCGCGGAGGGCGAAAATTGCAATGATCACTTCCACGGCGTTGCCGAACGTGGCATTGACCAATCCGCCAATGGTGTCACCTGTGTGGAATGCCACTTCTTCTGTGGCGTCTCCGATGATCTTGGCCAGAGGAATCATGCTGAGAAAGTTGAAAGCAAACACGACAGTGTCGCTCCACTGCGCGTAAGACGCGTAAATGGCAAACGGCATGCAGAGCAAAAGGAGGTTGATGGCGCTGTCCGTCGCGACAAAGTACAAGGAGTGGGCGAGCGTCGGTGGTGGGGGCGGGTCTTCAGCGCCACTCCGTTGAATCAGAGGTGTGCATTCTTTGGCAGCGCGAAGATCGTCTTTGGCCATGTTGAGTAGCATTGCGGACGGATCTCGAAATGAAGCGAATAATGGCGCAGATAGTTACGCTTCGAAAATCTATTAAGAACAAATGTAACCGTCGTCGGCCAAAACATCAAACAACTCACCAAGTTCCAACTCGTGAGCGGAAAGTTCGCCAAGTGCTCACACTATTTACGATGATTTCATATTTCCGGATAAGGTTGTCGACATATGCGGAATCAAGGCAATACACGTGCAGGACGAAAGAGGCGACTGCATTCAATGGCCGAGAACGGACAAATCCTCCTTCCCAACGTCGGCGTCGGCCACGCGAGCATTGAAGACCTGGCCAAGCTGGTCAAGGCGAAGCGGGAATTCGCGCAGGAGAAGGTCATCTCCCACCAACGGGTCAAGCTCCTCCGCGAAGAAATCGCCGAGTGCTACCTCAAGAGCGGCGTCAACCACTATGTCGCGTGCAAGGCCCTCCGCGAACAATACTCGGTATTGGTCAAAGACCCTTGGCTTGCCATGAAACCCGTATGTATATTTATATCTCCATCTTTGTCCTCCTCCACGGACACTTCGACGCCATATCTCACAATGCGGGTGTCATAGATTCGATTCGAAGGGCAAGACGACGAATAGCGGCAAGTGCGATGAATACCGGCAGCCGCGCCGACTTGCACTGTTTTACCCAGCCCGTTGAGAGTGGCGTTAGGAGCAAGCGAGTGGAAGCGTGGAGTAGGAGTACTCAACGACCCAGTATGATTAAAAAAATGTAATGCCCCACCTTGACATGTGATCCTTATCCCCGTCGCCGGTTGTGTTGTTGCTTGCGTTGCCGCTTTTCTCTTGCGTGTTGAATCATGTCTTGGGCAAACGTCGAACCAAACGAGTCGGGGTTATTTTCATCGGACGAAACAACGGCGGCGGCGGCTGTCGGGTCGACAATTGCAAACACTTCGTCGTTGTCTTCGTCGTCGAGAAGAATCCGGTTCACTGGGGGTGGTGTCGTCGTAGTGCTCTTGGGTAGTCTTCCCGCCCCCCGATCCCGCCACTGTTGCATCGTCACGTGCAAGTTGTCCGAGGTCGTAGATATGGTATCCTTCGCTTGTTTGACGGTCGAATTGAGTTGGCTGGACGTACTCGTCACCACCTTTTTGTGCTCTTGCACGGCTTTGACCAGCTTTTTGTTCTATCCAAACACACATTCTTGGCGAGGCATGAGCTTGTGTTTGCGTACCTCTGCCAGCAAGTCCTTGGTGGTTTTCGCCAACAGGTGAATTTTGTCGCCCAAGGCCTTGGACTCTTTGGCATCGACGGCACGCTGATGCTCCAGCTTCCAGACGCGGGTACTGAGTGCTCGGAGCTCTGACACGCGCTTTGCCGCAGCTTTATCTTTGGCCAGTCGCTTTAGTTCCTTTGCCTTTTGCCGCGCCAAGTGCTCTGCTTGTTCAATTTCCAAGGCGGCAGTTTTGAGAGTTTGCTTTTCTAGCTTGCGGTTGGCCTTGGCGTCTTCCGCGGTTTGCTTGGCATGCGCCTTTTCGGCCTTGCAAGCTTGGCGCTGAACGTCCTTTTCCCGTTGAATGTCTTGCTTGGTTTGACGCCGCCGTAGCTTTTCAGCGTGTTCGTGTTGTCGCTGCTGTTCTTTAGCATCCCGGCGTTGACGCTTGTCTTGCTCCAGTTCGTCAAGCTTTCGCTTTTTTAACGTTGCTTTGACAGATTTTGCTTCTGTCTCTTTCTGCTTGTCCTGAAGAAGGGATTGCACGGTATCCATGAGCTGTTGTAGGCGTTCCGCGTGTAATGGATCGCATTGCTCCCTCGTGGTGGACGAACGCTCGTGTATGTCGTCCCTTGGGACTGGAGCGACACGTCGGGACTCGGAGGTTTCCATAAGCATTCGGGAATACCGACTTTGCAAGAGGGATGGAAGGGGAAGTGCAGCCTGCAAGCAACGTACAATGCATGACTGACTGCAAGGCCAATGATCTCTACGTTACCTCATCTTGACTGTAGGGGGTTAACTGCGATTGGCTATACATATCTTCGGATGTATATGCAGTTTGCTGAGATGAACTCGCATATCCTATGCAGCGGTTTATGAACATCGTTCGGTCAAATAGCAGCTTACGCATCGATTGCGATTGCTGGTTGTAATACTCGTCTGGTGGTGGTGCAAAGATTGGCTGTGGATAGCCTACACACATCCCAGATTGTTCTGCCATGTCGTACAATGTATTTCTTACTTGTTGGGCGATGTTTCTTTAGCATCGGTCCGGGCTGCATTCCATGAGGTGGTTGTGCGTTCGCCGCCGCATACGGAATTGTCCTCGACCCGTTCACAGAGAGCGTGTGTTCCCGCCGCCTTCATGGAGGTCGTTATCAAGACTCCACTTCATCCACATCCACACTCATGTTCTCCCGTACCTGTTGTCATTCTCCAGCATCTGCGACAGCGAGACGATGTGCTTCGCCATCTTGATGGAGCTTCGCGCGCTTTTTGGGAACAAGTCAAGATTTCAAATCTCGGTGGAAATCCGGATAAATCCACGGCATTCGGATAATGTTCCTGTCATGTTGTGATTGATGCTGGCACAAACAGCACCATCAGATCAAGTTCCGCGAGTGGACCACTTCCGTCCTATCGAGAAGTATTACAGGCGCCGCGGCGATGGGCACAAGAATTCAAAGCAGCGCCGTCGCGAGCGACATCAGAACACGGATGGCGGCGTTGATTACTCTGACGTGATTGACGTGCATTGCCTGGAGAGAAATACCGAAGCACAGCGTATCCGCATTCGCCGCGTTCCACTTTCTCCGCATGCTACTTCCATTCCTGGTGCCATTCTATCTCCGAAGCACGCAGAAATGTTCGAAATCGACGGCCTTCCTGGCCTTTGTATCCTCATCAACGCCATGCCGCGATCGACGCAAGTGGAATGGGCCTTTCGCGCGGTGCGGGAGTACTCTCAAAACCCATTCACAAACGTGTCGAATTTGACGAAAGAGCGAGACGCAACCAAGAATATGTGGAAGCATGCATGGAAAGAACCCTGCGAAGCGTCATGGAAAGCCTTCCACGCGTTGAGGTGGGCGAATGTCGGGCGTCATTACGACTGGACCGAGCGGGAGTACTTAGACACGCCAGACATGCCGCCTTTGCCGCTGGAACTCGAGCAGCTCGTTCACGAAGTGTTTGAGATGACAGGGATGCTGGCCACGTGCAAAGCGGCCGAGTCGGGGATAGTCAACTTTTATCCTGCTGGCACCATGATGGGCGGGCACTTGGACAATGCCGAAGACGACATGGTGAACCCGATTGTGTCGTTGAGTCTGGGCACCCAATGCATTTACTTGCAAGGGGGCTTGACGAGAGAAACCCCTCCAACCCCACTCTGGTTGTACAGCGGTATCGCCATTATTACTAGCATGATGCTAGACTCGACTGCACAGTTGTGATCGTGTGTGTTTGGTTAGGTGACATTGTGATCATGGCGGGAGAGGCGCGGCGGTCCTTTCACGGTGTCCCCCTCGTGACGTCGATCCTTCCCGATGAATTTTCAAACGCCATGGATGAACTTGCCGCGTCGAATACGATGATGGACCCTCGTGAGTTTCGAGCATTTCGGGAATACATCGCCAGTGCCCGCGTCAACGTCAACCTTCGACGAGTGCGAAGCGACTGAATAGCACGAGGGTGAAGTCATGTAGTACAACATCCTTCCTATTCATAACGTTAAGGTCGAATCGACATTTGTGTTGGATGATCGCGCCTTGTGAGTATGCCAGATGTATACTGCTGCTACTCCGGAGTAACATGACGCTTTGAGATTGTCCTTGCAACAAAGGAGTGTACAGAAGGGCACTGCGAGACGAGGTAGCGCCGTTTCGGAGGTTCCTAGGTGAGAAGGAGATTGGGTGTACGCCGGTGTATTACCATGGGAAGCTACCGCGCGCCGCCCGCTCTCCACCCTACCGAGCCGATCGCTTCAAGCGGCCGACTTTCGCACTTCTGCGCTGAATTGTTGACAAGACAGATGATCTTCAACCTGGCCATAAGGTGACATTCATGTCAGCCACTTGGCCGATGTTTTAGGACGAATAGTCCTAATTAGCACTTCAATTCGGTCAATTCGGCACATATAGTCCTAGTCAATGGCATTTCCCAATGACACAGCGGCGTCATGCAACGGTTGCACCCCTTCTAAGCCAATCAAACGTAGCCGCGGGGAATCACGTTGCTAATCCGAATATTTTATTGTGCGTGAAATACCTCATACAAATCACAAGTGAAAACAACATCGGGGATTTAAATACCCAATGATCCAGTTACAAACGCTTCGTGGACGCCTTGGGGAAGTCTGCCCGGTTAAGTGCGCTATTTTTTGCGTAGCTTTTACCCGGACAGCCAATTCACTTCCACATTCGCTCGCCCCATGGCCATGTCATCGCCTGTGTTTCTCACGACCGCCGGCGTGCCTGCCGCGCCCGTGAAGAAGATGCAGAACCCGCAGGTGAAGTTCTTCATCGGTGCAGGTGTGGGCTGGACGTACGAGTTTGCGACGGGTCACTTCCTCGAGTTCATCAAAGTGATGAAGCAGACACAGAGTCACAAGTCGTACTTGGAACTGACGCGGGACATCACGCGGGCCAAGGGCATCATCGGGATCTGGGACGGCTTTTTCCCGTGGGGCACTGTCCAGGCGTTGGCAAAGGGGTCCGTATTCAGTTGGGGTCAAGCGTTTTCGCGCGCGCAGCTCAGCCCATTAGTCAAGCAAGGCCACATTTCCGACCGAACGGCCGAGATCATGTCCGGCGGGCTCGGCGGCGGGGTGCAAGGGATCGTGCTTAGTCCCACGCTCCTGCTCAAGACCCGCGTCATGACCGACCCCGTGTTCCGAACCAAGATGTCTGGGTGGGAAACTATCGTCAAGTCCGGGAAGGTGGGCATGAACGTCATCCGCAACGAAGGCGTGCCCGCGCTCATGAAGGGCAGCATGGTGTTCTCGTTGAAGCGCGTGGCGGACTGGTCGACGCGGTACTTTTTCTGCGTCGTAAGCGAAGATTACATGTACCGTCAGGGCGACCCGAATCGCAAGATCACCGTGTCGGAGGAATTGGCGGCCTCGCTCGTGGGCGGCACGCTGTCGTGCTTGGCGACTCTGCCGGTGGACGTGATGGTGGCGCAGATCCAGCAAGCGTCCAAGGCCGGCGCGAACGTCGGCATTGTCGCGACCTTCAAGGACGAATATGCCAAGGGCGGCATGAAGCGCCTCGTGGGATTCTCCATGGGCGGGTTCGTCCCGCGGTGCCTGCATGTGGCCTTCACGACCATGGTCATGAAGACCGGATGTAGCGCCGTGTACTCCATGTACGAAGATTACACGGATGGCAATTAATTTACAAGTTAGACAGTTTTAAGCAGCATCGTTGTCCGTAATCTTTTTGTCCTGATACATGGACGGAACATGCTTGACGTAGCGCTCAAGAAGCGCGTCTTCAGCGGCGGACATGACGGCAAAGTCGTCGTCGTTTTCGTGGTCATAGCTAGCATATATATGGATGAGTATGTAGCTCCCATCACCATGACAACATTGCTTCCATGTACCCCATGAGATGACATAGACCATGCGCCACCAAAATGGGCATCCTTTCGTCCAACGTGGTGTCTTATGATCACAGACAGGTGAGCCCATATGACAATGGAATGCGCTGAATACCGTTGTGAAGGCAATATGATTCAATGTAAGGAAGACTGAGGAACATGTCGCCTAAATACCGCGCGTCTTGGCCGCGAACGCCGGGCAGGACGCCTGGCGTTTGAATCTACGAGATGCAACGCCTGATTGCGCATTCGAGAAGGGTGCTACGCTAGTAGTTTACCGTGTAGTTCGGGAACGACAGGATATCGGTCGGCTTGTCTTTGTGTCGGTACTTTTTGTTCATGAATTGAATGTGCTTGTCGTCCGTCAAGAGCAGCCCCGCATCCCTAACGAGACCGGGTTTCAGGGAGATTGCACATACACATCAGTTGTACCATCGGCGGCCAGGAGCACCAATGACTCGAAGCATTGCATTGAGTTGCGCATTCAACTTCCTCGGGTTCACAGGCAGTGGCTTGGCGCCATAATGCTGCCGCAACACCTTGCTCACGATCACCATGCCAATCAGTCGACGACCTAATAAGTACAGGCAACGAACAATTGCGAGACTGGTATCCGGATAACTGTCGCATTGTCAATATTTGTTGGTGGCCTGTACCTATTTAACCGTACAAATACTGTACCATTCTATCAGTAAAGGGTAGCTTAAAATCCCTCGTTCACTGCAATGCGCTCCAGTCAACAGTCAAGGGAACGTCTCCCTCAACCAAGGCCATGCATAAGTACATGCTACATGTATGGCACTGAGAACCAACCATACCAAACGCACTGGAACGCGTCATATACCTGTGATTCGAGTCGAATTGTACGTGTCTTACGTGAGGTGCAAGTCTTCAACGGGGGGTACATAATTTTTGAATTACGGAATGATTTTGCTATTTACGTTGCCATAATATTAAGATATTTTGTGATTATCGTCCGTCGTCGGCAGCTTCATAGCCAGTCTCGTCAGTATTAACACAAGGTGGCAGCTGGGGGGTTGGAGAATTTGCACCAAAGCCCCCCTCATCACGTGCCTTTCCCCCTGCCTCATCGATTACTCGCCCCCTTGCTGCTACGGTTTGCACCATGGTGACCAAGATCGTCGACACGGTGGTTTGTGCCACGACCAGTCGCGTCGAGTCCACCAGTTGCTCCCACGCCAGAATCCGGAGGTTGTCTAATGCAACCCGAGCATCTTGGACGTATTCCGCCAAGCGGAGTCGGGACTGTTGCATGCTGTCCATCCGTTTCTTGGCCGTGGTGACGACACCCACAAGCACCACTTTCGCCACAACCTGGCTCTGCGTCCAAGTCGTGGCCTTTGTGGCTACCCGTGCAAGTTCCGCCCGGGCCTTTCGCTTCCCAACGATCGACGCGCGCGCTCTGCATGCCACGTCATCAAGGGCAACGTTGACTTGACGTCTTCTGTCGACCGTCGCCGTGGATCGCTGGCCCTGATATCTGCAGTCCGCGTGAACGGCACTTTGACATTCCATGTGGCCACGAGCGCGTTGGGCTCTCGTCTTCAACAGAATTTTGGCGACGGCGCAATCAAGGACGTGACGGCCCATGGCAACACTGACGTTGTGGACGCCATCTTTCCTCCATCGGCACATGTGCACGCAGGCCGTGTACTGAGCCTGGGCGACCAACGATAGCGACAGCTTCTTGGCCACCCGGCGGCGGACGAGGATAAGGTGCTTGGCCTGCAACGACCCCGACGCAATGACATTCCGAACAAAGACCCCCGCTTCCGTCGACACAACGGACGGGGGCGCGGCGGGGATGTACGTGAGGCGCCGCAACCACGACGAGTGCAAAATGACCCCCCCCGCAATCGCTTTGGACACGCCAAACAACGCCCACGACGCCATCGTCGAAAAGAACTGGTGGCATTCGTTCTAGGGGACAAACAAAGGTTATACGTTTCAGTGACAAGTACTACAGTACAATCAACTAATTGCATAAGGACAAAACTGGTGAATGTACTGTACCTGGGCGATCAAATGCAGGGGCACACACAGCTTTTCCATGGGCGTGCGCTTTCGAGCGCCGTGAAAACACATTTGGTCCAACGGCACGACCGGCGGATCGGACGCCGACGCCACCGCGACGAAGGTGGCATCCCCCAGCAGTTTGGCGTACGAAAGGTACCGCGGATCGTTGGGATCCCGGAGGTACCGCGCCAGGTCGGCGTACTCTTGGCTGGTCAACGTCAACCCGCTCACTCGAAGGATCTCCTTGAACGTGACGGTGGTCACCACGCCCAGTCGGTACCGATCCACGCGCGAAAACAATTGCGGAAAGTGGATGCCCATACGAACGCCCATTCCCGCCAAGTGCCGGACGACGTCTTTGAGGCGCTGCTTGGCCGTCTTCGATTCCTTCGACACCCCGCCTCGAGATGCTGCTGGTGACTCAGCGACGCCATGTTTGGCCTTCACCATCTTTGTATGATGCTCCGTCTGCGACACCGCATTTCCTCGCTCCGCAGCGTCCAATGCAGCTTGTGCCTGTTGTACGATTCACCACATCGATGACTGTGTGTTGGGTTTTTTCATGTCGAAAGTCCACAATCATCATATCCGCATACCAGAGGAAAGAGCTTAGCGATGGCGCGCCATTCTGCGACCGCGCTCTCCACCCTTCCGTCTGCCTGGTACGCCATGCCGAGCTTATAATGCGCCCACTTGTGTTGCGGCTGCATGCGAATGGCGGACTCGAACGCGCGAATGCTGTCGCCTATATGTCCGAGACTGAACGCGGCAGACCCGAGATTCAATTGCAGTTTCAACGACAGGGATACGGGCTCGACGTCGCCGTCGTCGGGCGTCGGTCTCACGTGCAACGCCACCGGTGGAACGGGCAAAGCCAACGAAAGTGCCAGTGTGTACAGCTCCACCGCTCGATCGTACACCCCGGTAGAGTGCATTTTAATGGCAGCGACGCACACTGCCTTGAGCTTGGCGTGGGGGGCCAGCGACGTGTGGGATGAAGGTAGCGTGCGCCACCACCATTCAAAGCCGCTGGCCGACGTCAAGCCGTGACTGGTGTGCCGCAATGACTTACGCGGAGGGGGTGCAGTGATTGGTAGGGCTACACCTGGACCTGGGTGGTGGATCAGTGGCAGCGCCAGCTCGCACGTTTTGTTTGGAATGTCTTGGCGTGCTCCCGACTGTGGTGGGGCCAAGTCGAACGCGTGTAAGCGCTGCTCGATTTGGTCGAGTGGGGCTAGGGACACGGGGAGCAGCTTGCGGCTGCGGGCGGGGGAGTCTGGAGGGACGAGTTTGTTGGGTTTGTCAGCGGACGGAGAGTGTTTCGGGGAAGGGCAGGGGATGGAAGTGGTCGATCGCAAGCCAAAGGCGGACTTGGGCTGCGGCAGGAATGGACTCTTGTCGCGGAGGTGCGCAGTAGGGGGCTTAAACGACGGAGAGCTCAGAGACGAGAGCAGTACGGGGGATTTCTTGGGGGGTTTCACGGGGCTTGGGTTTGGTGGGGCATACGATAAGTCGAGGAAGAGCGACCGCTTGCGAACGTCGAACACGGCAATCAGTTGAGTGGTCAAGTCGTCCAGCGCGTTGCAGCCTGGATACCGCTTGGCCAAGGTGGAAATGAACATCGTGGGTAAGATTGCTTGACCCTAGCCAAGAAATTGTTTTAGCTCCAGCGTCAACACGAATTAGGTGGGTAGTGGTGTAGTGTACTTGCGCTCCGATCTCGCACCCTTTGGCTACCGCTGAGGCGTCGGCTTTGGCCAACAGCAGCAGGATCTTTAGCACAAGCAGCTATGTATGTACGTACAGCAACATCCCATATCTCGTCTAATGTCCTGTAATAGCATGCCAGTGGACGTACCCTAGCGTGGAGATTGGAATGGCGAACCAAGAGTCGATACAAAGGGGCGGCAAGGCCTAGACATGACAGCGTCGTGACCACCCGATCACTAAACGTGGATAGCACACAACCAGCTTCGTTTGAACGGGCCACTATCGATGGAAACGCCATGAACAGGCACACTTCCTTGAGGAAACTTTCCTACAAGATGCGTGTACACACACATACGTCACGGTTAACAACCAACTCTCGCCACCAACCACTCGGAATTCAGGGCATCGCTCCTGGGTTGCGCAGTACAGTATCAGCGCCAACGGTTCGACCACTCGATCACTGGAGGGCGAACTGTCGCTCGCCTTTTGAAGCAACGGGCGTGACGTCTCGACAGTCTCTTGAAACTTTTGCACCAGTCCCTTGGCTGCATCATCATCACAGCCATGAGGAGGTAGACTGTAGGTACGGATGTCATTGTAGTATCCGTGTCATCGTACCCTGGCGCGAGGACGGGTCTGTGAGCACCCGCAGCTTTTGAAAGTAATCGTTGAGCCACACCGTTTGGTGCGCCACAAAGCAGTCGTCGTGTGCGACATCGTGGGACGCATACACATCCAACCACTCTTGGTTTGACTTGACCAGCACTTGGAGAAGCTCGTTGTGGTTCGCGTCCATGGGAAATCGGCCTGGAGCGTCTCCACCGACATCGTCACCGACGTCCGCCATGGCTCGGGAATGCCAACGTCTTGTGCGAGTGTGGTTATTTTTGGCTTTTTCAATTAGCAAGCGGCTATTATAATAGTATGCGAGCCTTGGGAACCTGGCTGTTTTGCCATATGTGACGACGATTCCACGATGCCTGACAACATGTCATGTCTATTTTAGGATCGATCTACATAAAGTCATCAAAGTCGTCGCCGTCATCTTCAAAGTTCTCGACGCCAGCGGCGCCACCGCGCTCGACCTTGGCGTAGCCTTGCTTGCCCGTGATCTTCTTCTTCTTGCTCTTGGGCTTGGCGGCCGCGATCTTGTCGTTCTTGATCACGTTGATGATCGTCGTGATGTCCTTCATGTCGTCTGCCGTCAAGTTGTTGCTTGCATGCGATATTAACGTCTTCATGAACTCCACCACGTGCTTGGCGTTCTACAGAGTGGTTCCACCTGCTTAATGCATACATACATACATGCATCCACATCGCGACAGTCGTCCGTACCGAGTTGGCCAGGCGCTTGCCCACCAAACTGCCGAGCTCTTCGTGGTCGGCCAAGCTCGCGAGTTTCATTCCCGTGACCAACGTCTCAATCTCGTTCGGGCCCGACACCTTCTTGCGCTCGATGTTCGGGTTCGCCGACAAGCCGAATGCATCCAGCGTGTTTTCAAAGTCGGAGTGTTCGATCGCACGCAGTTGCTTGGCCTTGAGCTCGTCCGCGGTCATGTTGCGCTCGTCTTCGGCACGGGCACGCGCGATCGCCACTTCCAACCTGTGCTTCTCTTCCTGTTCCTTGAGGATTTGCTTCTTGAGCTGCTTGGGCTTCAAAGGACCGGTCGGGGCCGCCGCGTTGGACTTGGCCACGACGGGCTTGGGTGCTTCCTCCTCCTCTTCTTCGTCGTCCCAGTTGGCTGCAACGGGTGCAGATTTGTTCAACCTACATTGGCAAGTGTGTGTGAGCACTGGAGAGCTTTGTCGTGATGTTAGACGTACGCAGGCACTTCGAATTCATCGTCATCTACACATAGACATGAGTCTCACGGGCGGCAGCAAGCGGCGGTGGTGTGTGCACGTACCCCACGAGTCCATGATGCTTCTACTTGGTCAACTGAGTTTTGACTGGCTGGTGCGTTCACGCTCCCACACGACGTCGCTGTGTTGGGAATATTCCCATTAATATGAGGTGGTTATATTTTCCATACTGATTACAAGCTAGAATGTCCAATTGTATGTGCTGTTAGAGGACAATTCCCAACCTTGTCCGTCGCATTCTAAATAACATGACAAGTCGACCACGTGTCCACCACAATGCCCTGTCAAGGACAAGCAGCATTCACAATTCTATTTTGATATCTTCAATTCTCTACAGCGTCTACTTATTGCGTTGTTTGTTGGCCTTCTTGGCTTTGTTGTTGTTTGGGGCCGGGGGACCATGGTTTTCAACTTTAGTTTTTTTCCCATTGGGAATGATGTCTATACCGCAATATCAAGCGCCTGAGGATATTTCCCACAGAAAGAAACATACCTGTGCTGTCTTGTGCTTTTCGTTTGGTTTTCGAGGCAGGGGCGGTCACTTCGTGCTCGACGACAATCGTAGGTGCCGCCAAGACCGCCGTGGCGGTTTTCTTGGGTTCGACTGCTGCTGATTTCGCTTGCTTGGGCTTCTTGGCTCCCGTAGGCTTGTCATCCACCACATCCACGTTCAAGCGGCAGGCCGACAAGCATGTGACCAACGCCGTGCCGAATACCCTGGCCGACGCCACAGGCTCGACGGCATTGTTCGCTTCAAGCGCCGAGTCTGAGAGCGAGAACTGCGCCAGGTCGTACACTTGCACGACCCCGTTGGTGCTCACGAGCACGACGTACGGCAACTCGCTGGCATCGACCTTGGCCACAACTTGCAGACTTCGGATGCGTGCGGTGATGTCTGGGTGCGAAATCTTGGCCAAGAGCCTACAAACCAACAAGCAACCGTCAAGCCCCTTGGTAATCGCATGAACGGAATATCGTACTGGCCCTGTGCTCGATACAAATAAAGCACTCCGTCGTCGGTACCCAGCACCACCAAGTCGTTGGTGGCAAACGCAGCCGTGTGCACCTTCTTCTTGTGTTCGAGCGCCCCCACGAGCTACAAGTATCGCCACCACATACATGTATATGGTTCAGCTAAAACAACACTACATGCTCAAATAGGCTTGCGCACACTACCTCGGCATTGGCCGAGCCAAAGATGGACACGTGGTTGCCCATCACGAGGCCATATCTACTTGCAGGATAAACAAATAAATCGTCATGGCCACTTTGAAACAGGGGCAAGTCAGTACCGGTTGCCATCTTGCGACAGGAAAACGCACGTAGCTTCTTGGTCAAGGCGGCGAATGTACGCGGATCGGCCTTTGACCAGGTTCCACATGCGCAGGGTCTTGTCCTTGGACACCGAAAACGCGAGTTTGCCGCTGGGATGCACGGCAATCGAGTTGACGGGACCTCTAGCAAGTACATGATGATGTAGTGTACTGTGGAAGACATGGTGATGACGACGTATCGTTGTCGTACTGGTGGCCACCGAGAATGTGGATGCAATTCCAGTCCGACGTCCGCCAGATGCAAATCGTGTTGTCGGCACTGCCACTGAGGACATGGGACTTGCCATAGTACTCCAAGCACGTGATCGCGCCTGCCATACACCAACTTATTGATATGATGGGCCCCATGAAAGAAGTTGTAGTGGTATTATAGTACCCTTGTGTTGCATGAGGATGCCCACTTCCACCTTCTTCTTGACATTGTAGATTCTACATCGTTCACGTGGCGGTTAGACAAGAGAAATTCGTCGCTTTGGCGAGCCGTACTTGATCATTTCGTCGTTGCCACCGGTCAAGAGGGTCTTGCCATCGTGCTCCATCATCATAGCCAACGCCTTGATGCATTCCGTGTGCGCGGGATACCCGTACACCATTTTTAGGGCTGACTTGGGCTTCTTGCCTGTCAGATCCTTTGTCGATGCCTCCCATCCATACAGCATGCCTTCATACGTGCCAGCCACAATCTGCAGCTTCGAGTCACCTGTCGCCGCCATCGTTTACCTGCGCGATCAATTAACGATTGGCTTTTGCTTTGCTCACATTTGGTTGGTTGGTTCTCGGAGGATCCTAATTCAGATACAATACGGATGAAATGCCTAATTAGGACACAATGACTTTTATTACTTTGAACAACTAGAGTACTGTCAGCGCTCTCGCCGACAACGATTTGGCGCGTTTGATGGACGCCGCGCGCTCCAAGTCGCGGATCGATTGCAAGCGCAGCGACTTTTCACGGAACCTTTCATGCCGCTCTTTCAACCGTAGCATGCCGATGGCAGTGATGCAGCCACAATACAGCGTCGCCGACGCTACCGACAAGAAGAACGATAGCCCCAACGACACGCCCGCACCAACGTGGAGACTGGACTGCTGAACAAACCACATCGTGATGGTTAGCAGGTTGGCGACTAGGGCGGCGAACGCAAGGAGTTTGCTTAGGGCCAGCATACAGGACTTGGTTGTAGTGGCGCAGGTCCAAACTGCGAGCGCCACGAACATCAGGGTGCCAAGGATCGAGGTGGAAATCGCAAATGTCAGCGTGGACGAACCAAGGGAGCCGCAGGTTCGTTCAAGGAACTCGTCGTTCAACACCTCCTTCGGATATGCTCCACCGATGTCCAACTTGTCCCCGTCATTGGTTTGCGCGTACAAGGCACATATGGACTGGTTGGATAGGCTGTAGGGAAGATTGGGTCGACTAGTGGGCAGGTTGGCTCGTTCAACTTCGTTGATTGGGCTCGGGGCTGAGAAATACGACGCGCACACAATGCCGTTCGAGTGGTTGGTTTCGAAGCATAGCCCGGCCACACCAATGGATTGGATGGCGGATGACTTGCCAATGTCGTTGTCCGAAACAAGCCATAGCGGAATGATGAACTGCGTCCAAGAGAGACCTGCCGTAACAAAGCAAAGCACCAGCGCCACCACACCTTTAGCCGTGCAATGCATGAAGAGATGCCAAGGCGTGTAGAACAATACCTCCCAAACGGTCGACAGAATGAGACTTTGAAGGGGCGTTGGTTAATATCTCTGCAGCTGATTGGGGGTTTCAGATTCCGTCCAATCCCCAGCGAGAATTCAAGTTCTCACCAACCAATGAGAATACTTTCGAAATTACTGCCATTGCCGAAGGATTTGCGACGCAACTCATTCACTTTTGTAATTTCACCGACGTACTTGTACAGAAACCATGCCCTGCACCGCCACTGGCATCGTTAGCATTGCGCTAGCTGTGACTGCGTTGGCGCTGTCGTCGATCGCGTTGGCGCTTCCCATGTGGGCCAGCTCGTCGTCCATCCAAGGCGAACCCACCGACACCCCTGCAATGCTACACAATGTCCAGTTCTCCGTGGGAGTATGGGGTTATTGCATCAATGCCGACCTCACTCAAGATTACAACCACATCACACTGGATCAATGTTTCAGCTTTTATTCATCGCGAGACATCACGAACGCGCTACGCATCAACGGAACGGCCGTCGCGACGACCTTGAACAACGCGGCTATAGAGATGAATTCATCCCACGCTGCACTTTGCGATTTACCAGATCTTGGTAGTGCCACAGCATTATTGACGCCACTCAAACCACTCGAGTACAATGCGTTCGTCTCAAGGTCGTGTGGGTCCTTGGGCAAGGCATCGTTATCCTTTGCTGCACTGAGCAGTGGGTTTGGAGCATTGACCTGCCTCACGTTGCTGCTGTGCATCACATGCTGCTCGGCAAAGTCCTGCTTTGTAAGCCTTGCCAAGGTTTTTGGACTACTGTCGTTCACAAGCAGTGTCGTAACTTTTGGCTGCTGGACTGGACAAGCGACAGACTTGACAAATGTCTCGTTCGGCATCAGCTTCGCGTTTGAAGTGGCGGCAGCGGCGTTGTACGCACTCACATTTGTCGCCCTCGTGTTTCATCAAAAGCGCGGCATCCAAACTGAAGGCAAGGTGGTCGACCCTTCCCCTTAGCTTTTTTAACGTGTTATTTGCAATTTAATTTGAATGTCAAATTATTGCACCGACTACCAACTGCATAACAACGTCGTAGCTTAGGCTCTTTGGGGTCATCGCTGGAGCCCCTTTGCCACCACTGGAGCCCCTTTGCCACCACTGGAGCCCCTTTGCCACCACTGGAGCCCCTTTGCCACCACTGGAGCCCCTTTGCCACCACTCCCCTTCGCCACCATTTGGACCCTTCCCATTTGTTTCATATCCGGAACAAAATATGGTCATCCGGTAAAAGGGTGAAAGATCGCAACAAATACCGGATACTTATCCGGATTCTGCCTTTCCAATTTGCACCTGGATTCTGAAATGGGCTGCTCAACGACGGGTGTTGTGGCCGTCATGGTGATGGCGGCGGCGCTGATCTTCTCGACATTGTCCTTCCTTGCACCGAATTGGTCCATGAGTGAGTCCCCCATGCATCCGCTCACGGATATCAAGTTCTCCACTGGTGTCTGGGGCTACTGCGTGAACACCGAGTACAACACTGGTGTAAATCTGAGTAGCCACGTCGTGGACACGTGCTTTAGTTTCTATTCTGCGGGGCGAATTGTACTCAACACAACAAATACTCCGCACCTGCGCCAAAACGACGATGTCGCTGGACGGAGCGTGTGCGATGTGTTGCGGTCGTCGTCCGAGCCGATAGACATCGATCTCACCCCCTTCGTGTCCGTCACGGGAGTGGACGCCGCAGCTTTCCGTTCATTCCTGGTGCTATCATGTGGAAGCGTTGGAAAGAGTTCGTTTGCGTTGTCCATGTTGTCAGTCCTCTTCGGAACAGTGGCATTCTTAGGCTCCATCGCCCTCGTTGCGTGTTGCCCGTCCAAGTCGTGTCTGGTGAGCTTTACCAAGGCGGCATCCCTTGGCGCTGCCTTGTTTAGTTTAGTCGCATTCTCGTGTTGGCTGGCCCAGACGAGGCCACTAAACAAGGTCGGCGTGCACCCCGGTAGCTGCTTCGTCGTGCAAATCATTGCGTGCATCACGTTCCTCGGGGCGAACATGGCATTGAACCACCATGCGACAAGCCAAAGCTTGGTGCCCAAAACAATTGAGTGACTTTTTATTTCATTAATTTCGATGTACTTTCGCTTCCCTACCAGCACAAACTCGACCGACCTCCGAGTTGGTTGAGCATCGGGCTGAAAACTATTACGAACTGTCCTTCAGGTCGAGATCAATTAAAAAATGAAACTCCCTGTAAATACCCGATTGGGGCTTATACTATATATCACTGCCTGCGTCGACTACTTAGTTGGCCACGTCATCACCGTCTGCATCGACTTCAGCGTCCCCTGATAGCAGATCTGCCCCCTCCGACCCGTCCTCCAAAACGTCAACCACGGCCGTATCTTGATCGTCAACCAACACATCCACGAGTTCAATGCTACTGTCATAGCGTGAGGGCTCAGCTGCCTCTTCAACCGTTTCAATATTATAACTGCTCACGTTGGCTTCATCTTCAGCAGCCAAGGCCACCACCTCGTTGGGCGGACTCTGAACGAGCACTTCGTCGGCATCTGAGACGATGTCGCTGGCATCCAGCAAGTCATCCGAAACATCGTGGATGTCGTCAAGGAGGGCACCCACGTCGACTTCATCTTCGGCAGCCAAGGCCACCACCTCGTTGGGCGGACTCTGAACGAGCACTTCGTCGGCATCTGAGACGATGTCGCTGGCATCCAGCAAGTCATCCGAAACATCGTGGATGTCGTCAAGGAGGGCACCCACGTCGACTTCATCTTCGGCAGCCAAGGCCACCACCTCGTTGGGCGGACTCTGAACGAGCACTTC